TGGCAAAACCCCTCTGCCGTTTCGAGTGTAGAGTTGTGAGTCACGGCAAGTAAGGCCATGAGACCATCCATCGTAAAATGGAGAGGTTGTGTTTTGCACTTCCCCGGAAATCTAAGGTTTCCCCTCCAAGCTATTGCGGAGATGGGGCGAGCCACGGCGCACAGCAAATTGTCTAGAGACTTGGGTGCGAGCTGCTGTGCAAAAGCTTGCAAAATGCTGGTGAAAACATCTAACGCAAGGGACACAGAACGATGTACTGCGATCGCTAGAGGTTGCTCGCCAGGCGGTCTCTTCTTATGTTCATGTCTCGCTTGCGAGCTGACAATTTCTTTCTTTGGCTATGCAGCGTGGGCCTCAGGCAGCTGCGCAGCTTCCAGTGAACTCGCGTCTAACACCGACGCCTAACCACAGCCAATTCCATCAGTGATCAGTCTGAAGAAGCCACAGGCAAATCGTTATTTTGAAGTAGCCCGTCCTCGAAAATGATAGCTCAAAACATGAGCCCCAACAATCGTGTGTGCGTTTTGGACAGCTGAGAGGCAGCTTGACCACTTGCTGCCCTTGCCCCATCTTCCGCCTTCTTTGTCTGCATGTCACAGGTGGACTTGGCAGCTTCATCCACTTCGTCCTGTCAACACAAGAGCCTCACACATCAAGCAGGACGCCCCCACAGGTTCCGCAGGTTTAAACCTGCTCTGAACTGAATTGCTTCCTGGATCTCTGTCCACACACCCGCCTTCCTTGCACCACCCTGCATCATGGCAAACAAAACACGATTGGCCGTCCTTCCAGCCTGCACTTAGTTGGGCAAGCTGGTTGCACTTCTTGAGTTCCATACGGTGCAGCCTTCAGCACATTTCACTTGAACAGATTGTGAGGGACACCTTTCAGGTCGTCAAATCATGGGGAAACAGACACCCTTCTGCTTGGGTTCACCATTTCAATAGGCCAAGCTTAAAATGCCGAGAGCTGAAAGAGGGGGGTCGAAGGAATCCCTTCTCCGCTCCGGGTCCTTGAGCTGGCTGGCTTTGAAGAGGGCACCCATGTTGGCACTGGCCCCTTGCCGCTTCACCAAGAGCCTCAGCAAAAGCCGAGCTGAGGAGAGGCAAGGTCAGGGGATGCGTCCCCTTGCCATGGGCACGGCCAGTTGGTCGGCGACATTTGGTTTGTGGTCGGTTTTGGTATGTTCTGATCGGTTTCCGCTTTTGTTCGGCACTGGGCGGCTTTGGTCGGTGTGCGCGCAGCTTGAAAGGGAGTTGCTCGGATGTGGGAACAAGGCGGCGGGCTCCTGTTGCACGCGCGGACTCGTCACCTTTGGAGTACTAACTAGCAGCTTGAGGCTCGCAACCACGGTTGCCCAACTGGCATTTGCCAGGCATTTGCCACGGCCTTACACCAAAAAAAACATTTGTCCATCGGCGCAGGGATGTCTGCTTCAATAAATGCTTGCAAGTGTGGGCCTTTCAGCTCAAGCACACCCTGAAACCCTTCGCTCAAGCTCTTCAATGAATGCGGAAAGCTACAATAGGCATGATCGAGTGTAAACAGCAATGGCCAACGCATTTATAGGAGCAGTCGATGGTCAACTCATGCCTCATATGTGCAGAAAGCAAAGCGCACGGGCTGTCCATGTCTTGGTTTGTGCATCCTTTGCGGGCCCTGATGCTATTCGATAGTGCACGAGCCCTGGCTGCCAAACAGGCTTCTGAAACTTTGCTTCGGATTGTTTCTCTCGCGCTTCGTGCAATCCTCCAGCCCTTGGCCTAAACATGACGCAAGTCGTTATATACGCAAATATTCTTGTGAAGCCCTTTGATCAGAAAGCCGTCTCGCAAAAACAACTCCGATCCCCCAAACAGGTATAATGTGCAATCCTATTGCCCATGCTAGCAAGCACGCTCGGTCGCAAACGCAATCCAAACATGCCCGCTGCGTTTCACTGCCTTGAGCTAGCTTCAGAACAGGAGGGTTGAAGACCGACCCCGCTAGGAAAAGGGGGGGAGACCAAAAGCATCACGGCTGGGGCGGCGGCTTCTTCCACATCAATTCCATCTCCTGATCGACTGCCACAAGCAGCTCCCAGCCACATGTTCTTCTAATTCTAAATGAGATTCTTCCACTCACTTTGCAACAAAACGAAATGAAAGGAGAAGCACCCACCCGCAAACATCTCACGTCTTCCTTGGAACTAGGGTCGATTGCGTAGGCTCATCGTGGTATCGAGCCCCACACACAAAGTTTGCATAGTGCTCCGCTTGTTTCAAGCAACGGAGCACAGGAGTCCACGAAAAACGCGAGAACGAATCCTGCACGTGGCTCCAAGGATTGTCATACACTCACTTACCAGCATGTACCGGCTGTTGCCTGACCCCCCCTAAGAAAACGCCGCGCACTTCGTAGACCTGAGCCAGTCTGCACAGCAACAAGGCCTTTCCCCGCCGACCTCGGTGAGCGCCGCAGGGTCGATGGCCTCCTCCAGGTTGGACTTGGAGGTGGCCTGCTGGGCTGCATAGCTGCTTGGGGCGGCAGCTGGTTTCCCCACTTCGTACTCTTTGAGTTGCTTGGCGCCAGTCGGACGTGTTGCAAATCCCTTCTCCCTAATGCTAAAGGGGAAGGGATTATCTTCCTTCAGTCGAATCAGCGAATGTGTGCGTTGCAACCTTGCTTCGATACCCCGCCGTACCATGGGCCTTCCGGAGCCCCTCCCAGCCTGGCTGACACTTGGCGCGTCTCCAAGGGCCTGAAAGTCCGAAACGCCGGATGACGCCTGCGGCTCCAAATCGTAGGGGTGCTCTGCGCAATCGAATTCCAAAAAACTGGCTTCGTCACATTGAGGTGACCCATGAGGTACATTCTGGCCAGGCCAGTCGTGACAGCCCAAGAGCCACCCAAGGCTCAGGCAGGAGTGTACTCAGCTGCCTTGGACAAGCCGCCTGCACGCACCAACTCGGCCGTATCGACGAAATGCCCAAAAACCCGGGTCTGCATTCACATGCTGGCGGAAATGCGACCCGTGAAGGCGCAGGCAAAGTGCGGGGGGTTCGTGACAAGCAGGACTCCCATAAGCCACGCCGGCTGATCACAAAACCCTTGTTGCCTTCTGAACTACTGTGGATGGACAAAATCTTGCACTACTTTTTTTTTTTTTTAAAAAAAAAAAGCTGGAATGATGATTCCTCTGCAAATACCAACAATCAATGGTTTCCAATACTTTCAGAGTGGTGCAGGCAAGGTCTCCAATTTGATATGCTGATAGGATGCCCTTGAGACCGACTAGTTACATGGGCGTTGAACTTTCTGATGGTAACCCTTCTTTTTTGCTTTTCAGCAGAAACCACTGGAAACTTAACCCCCCGTTCTTTGTTTTTTTAGGACCCCCCGGCCCCCCCCCCGTTCATCACGGGAGATCCCCATGGCCTGCCAAAGCCTCGGAGGAGACGGAGGCGCCAAGCCGCACCTCCAAGGGAGAGGTGCACCCTGAAATTCCGTCTTTTTCTGAGGGTGAACTTGTGGGGTCCACCCAGTTTCCGGGGTCCTTGAGAGGGGCCTGTCTTGTTTTTGAGGGTCTTTAAGACACGCCCATGTTGTTTCTTGCTGGCGTGATGGTGGCTCAGAAGTCATCGCCGGCTGGATGGGTCCTGGGCAGCTTGGCGCCTCCAAAAGCCTTTCGGCACACCTCTAAATGTGGATCCACCAGTGTGAGGTGGTGACTGGCCAGGAGTGGCAAACAAATAACCTGTATCTCCATGTCCTTTGGGCAAGCGAGTGGGAGGTTCAGAACTGCGATGATATTGATCCAGGTGCTTTGGTGTGCTGGGTTGTTTGCTTGCTTGAATTCAACAACATCGCTTTCGATTGATGGCCAAAAATGGCATCCGCCATGCATGATGTTCAGAAGCCGTGCATCTCTCACTGCCTCGCTGGTGAGGGAGGCGGAAAACCTGAGTCGTGCGGCGTTGCCCTGGAAATCATCCGCGTGGAAAATCATGAAACAACATCCCGCCCAGGGCAAACACAGGGCTGTTCAAGTGGTCTCTCCTTGTTCAAGAATCAAACGAATGAAACTTGATTGCTCCAGAAGCCGTGCCGGCAGGCTTCCACCCATGAAAATCGGGGGTCGCCGGAACATTGTTGAATGAAATTGAGTGCTTTGGTGCTGGCGCGGTTGTACGTCGAAACAATGCTGAGAATTCACCGTCATGAGTTTGCAAGATAGGTCCTTCAGTGTCCAATCGTTTGGCCTCCACCCTTGAGAACTTTGAAACTCGCAATTTGCCAAACAAAGAGTGATTTTCCTTCCAGCCGGGTGCTTTTCAAAAGGCCAATCGACTGCATGCCTGATTCTTTCAGCAGAGTTCGAATCGCATGGCCCATGGCCATCCGATCCATCTGACCTAACATCTCCAAAGATACAGACGAAAGTTTGTTTCCGGTGAGATGGCTTGCAATCCCAAGCACCCCCCGGCTTTCCATGTTCCTTGCCGGGCCAGTCGGCCTTCCTCGCGAACTTGGCGCCAGACATCCCGGAGCCTGACAAATCTGCTGTGGGGCCTCGGGGCTCGACCGGTCCAGTCTCAGGGCGTCAGGGCAGCTGCAGAGGATAATGTGAATGTGCTAAAAAATCGGAGAAAGTGAGAGCTGTCAGGAACTCCTTGGTAAAGTCACATTTTGACACCATGTGTTTAAGACCCTCTCTCCTTTTGGAACGCCATGAAACGTTTCAACTGTAGTCTGGCTGACTGGGGCAAAACTCTCCAAGCTTTCCATAAACTCAAAAGGCATGAGGCGCTTTGCATTTTGGACCGCGGCTCTTGAGCACCACCTGGAAAAGCACAGATCAGCAACATCAGATTCTGCCCGCGGGTAGAGGCCATGACAGCTTCTTAAGCTGGGGGGGGGGCTTCGCCCTCGCCCCGACATCTTTCAGCAGGCCGTATTTGTCACTGGTTCTACAACCAGCGCAGCCACATACTGGGCTTGCAGAATAGCACGCCCACTGCTCAGTCACGGTCTCCAGCATCTTTGGCCATGTCATACAGAAGCTTGGCCGCGAACCTCGGGGCTTTGCCTTTTGGCGGAAAAGCTGCAGTGGAGGGCTGGTGGAGGCTCTTCGGTCTTCCCTCAAAAGGTTGTCACATCGGCGAACCAATCAGTGCCTGCCGGTACAAATCAATTCTTCCGGGACCAAACTCGACGTTTGCTTGCTAGGAGCGCAGAACCAGCACCTCTTTCAGTCTGGTTGGCGCGCACGACACCTTCCAGTACAAACAAATACCATCAGGACTAGTATGCGTCTGAGACTTGCCCAGTGAACTTCCGCCAATATTGGACAGTTGTGGGCCCCTCGGTCGAAAAACTGTGGTGCCGCGACAGGCTGAAATGGCCTCCTGTGACAGGACCCTACTTGGCCCTTTCAGGTGGCACCCCTCACATAAAGAAAGCTAAAATGCCAAGCTTCATATAGAAGCTTTCAACTACTCTCAATCTGCCTTGATGATTGTCAACTTGCCATGCAGAAAGCTGTTGTGGTTGTGGCCCAAATAACCCTGATGCACGTGTACTGGTTTGCTCAACCCTGCTTGTGTCTTCACTTCGGTGTGACTGCGTGGCCCACTCAGGAAAATGGACCAATGGAAGCTGTGGCATGTCCCGTTGATGCGTGCAAAGGTGTGAGCCCCATGATCGGGAACACTTTACTACAATTGCACGGCTTTAACCAAAGCATGTCGGCTTGCAGAATCAACTGACGCTTTTTCAATGTGCCAAACATCATCATCATCATCAGCATCATCATCATGATCATCATGATCATCATGATCATCATCATCATCATCATCATCATGATCATCATCATCATTATGATCATCATCATCATCATGATCATCATCATCATCATCATCATCATCATCATCATCATGATCATCATCATCATCATCATGATCATCAATCATCATGATCATCGTCATGATCATCATGATCATCATGATCATCATCATCATCATGATCATCAGCATCATCATCATGGTCATCGTGATCATCATGATCATCATCATCATCATCATCGTCATGATCATCATCATCATCATCATCATCGTCATGATCATGATGATGATCATCATCATCATCATCATGATCATCATCATCATCATCATCATCATGATCATCATCATCATCATCATGATCATCATCATCATCATCATCATCATCATCATGATCATCATCATGATCATCATCATCATGATCATCATGATCATCATCATGATCATCATCATCATGATCATCATGATCATCATCATCATCATGATCATCATCATCAAAATAGTTGATCCAAATTCGCGTGCCAATTCACAATCCCTATGAAAGCTGACCCGCGTTGACTCAAGCTTTCTTCGAATGACTATGAATGGCTTCTCCCTGAAGGGTGCTTTAATGAACTCGAAGCCACTCCAATGCCCTCAAACGCACTCAAATGGCCTCAAATACCCTTAAATGCTCTCAAAAAGCCAAGAAAAGCGCAATAAAGTCAAAAACACAATCGCTTATATAAGCGCCTTAAAATAAAAGGCATTTCAAGGCCACCATAGCAGCAATGAACTGTGGAAACAAACAATCTTCAAACATGATCACACATCACACATTTCCCAGTTCCAACAGTTGGGTTCCAAGTTCTGGCAAACCTCCAGCAAACACAAACAGCTCCGGCAAATTGAGCGCTTAAAATTGCAGAAGTAAGGAGCGCTAGAAATCCTGGAGATTACCTGAAGCGATGTGTTTTTGGTTGACCTGGCTGAGGCATTGCCCTAAAATGATTTGTAGAGATATTAAACACCAGGTCTGCAACCCACTCCGCCTTCCTGAACACGTTCTGCATTGCAGGCTTTTGCTCAAAACCTTCCAGGTGACACCTTGCACGTATGATGCAACACAAACTGCTTCCCTCAAATGCCCTCAAATGCCATTTTGAGTGTTTTTCACCTGAGGGGTGTCACCTGAGGGGGGATGAGTAAAGTCCTGTGATCCTGCGTGCGCCATGACCAAAACGTGCACCCCGGCCGTGTAAAATGTAAAAACAAATCACGCCTTGCCGTCAAAGCCCCGAAGAACAGAAACACCTCAAGCAGCCTGCGACCATCCCATGGAAGAGACATGCTGAGCACTTGTACTCCACGTTCTCCAATTGGCACGCGTTGCGAGGGGAAGCTAGTCCAGTAGAGAATTTGTTGCAGGTACCAGCACAGGGGCTGCACAAAGACTGCTCTGCCCAAGCAACCCCACAAGCCCTGGCAGCCTCAAACCAGCTCCTGACAGCCCGAGCCTGATTGCCTTAGCCACGCTGAATCCCACGTATGCATGCCTAAAAAAACTGGCTCTGTATTCTGCCTTCTCATGTGTTGTCTACATCCGCTTGCTTTCCTAGTGCTTGACGTTCTGAGCAACAAACTTCACAAGCAGCAAGGCCAGCACAGGACTCAAAACAACATCTTGAATCTGCAAAGGATCTTTGTTTTCTATCTCAACCACATAGCAAAGCACATGCGCATGCCTTCTTGGCAAACCACCCCAGCATACCTGGGTTTGTGCCACGCTGGGCCCCAAAAAGTTGGAAACAATGCAGCGGTCATGTCAGCCCAAGGGGCAGTGCTGACCCCAAGGCTGTGGAGCCCTTGATGCCCCACACCAGCAGGGAATCTTGAAGATGCCGCTGCACCTGTTGGGGCTAGCTGTGGGATTTGGGTGAAGCTACGTTGATCTCACAACCTGTCTCAAAGGAGGGGGGGCAAGAGAAGCCAATTGCGGCTTGTTCCTAGGGAAGACGGTGAGGGAATCAAGCAACAAGAAATGCCACAACAGCTGGAACAGTCCTGGGGCCTTCCGGGGAAGCTAGTGGGAAGCTACATGACTCTGATTTTACGTCGAGTCTATTCTTTCGCTGGCAATCCCCAAGTCTTTCGGAAACCTTTCGGAGAAGCGGAGCCTTAGGTTCAGGGAAGCTTCCGGAGAAAGGGGGCTGCCCCCCCTGCCCTCTTCCTGGCCAATTGCAGCCCATTCCCAGGGAAGCCTGTGAGGGATTCAAGGAACAGGAAACGATACAACGGTCCTATTTATCCGTTATAGCTGTCCTGCAACCTGTCTAAAAGGAGGGGGGTTGTAAAAAAAATGCTTCCCCAAGGCTCCCACAAAATTCCCAGCTATTTTGCCCCAACCGGGGAGGGTAAAGGGGGGGGAAAACAATCCTGGTTCCGTTGTTAATGCCAAACTCAAATAAGACAGAATTTGATTCTGATGCTCGCGGTCCTTCATGGCTGCGCACCAACGGCCAATGGACGCGTTCAAAGGGAACCCAACATTAAGGTTGGCCACATCGTCGATCTTCAAATAGGGCACTGCCAAGGGGCAAATAGAAATCAAGACACGATTCTTCGCAGGGACTATGTCCGGACTGCCGGGCAATCTTGGCCCAAGCTCCGGCCTTCTAACTTAGAAGTGGGGCACCGCTTCACCCCGGTCAGCGCCTGGCGCACGTAGAGGTACTGCCAGCCCATCGCACTCAATGCGCCCAGGCCGAATCCTATGCGTGAGAGGCCGACACGGCCGGAGAGGAGCGGCGACATGGAGAGAGGTTGGCAAGTTGCAAGCCCAGGTCAAAGGGGATCAATAACTCCACACTCATCGGCCCGACTTGCCATCAGCAATCAGTGAGCAGAGGGTCTCAGCACCATAAGATGGTTTTCTTTCGGGAGTGCTTTCAGCCCTTCCTTTCAAACATTCCGGAGCCTGCAGCCACTTGGGGCCACGTGTGGAAGCCCAAGCGTAGGCGCAGCCAGGATCCAAAGCCACCGCCCGCGCAGATCGCGGCAGCGCACAACCCGTGCCAGCAAGTCCCATCCAGCAGCGACAGGGCGGTGTAGGTGGACAAGAATCCTGGCATCTGGGGCCGAAGCATGTACTGTACAAGGATGGAGCAAAAGACTCTCATGACCCATCGCTGGCAATCATTAGAAGTGAAACCCTGATCAAGTGCAACCTGAGCAGCCTGCGACGGCAAAACTCCCGGAACATGCAAACTGGGCTCGAAACATGCATAGATCAACATATATGTCACGTTCTTTCAACCTGCTGCCAGCTTCGGCGGCGCCTCTGACATTGCAACTGCGCATAGGCGGTCACACCCACTATAGTCACTACAATTAACAAGCGGAAAGTGAGGATGACAGCGAAGAACTCAGGAACAAGCCAGGCCGCAACAAGCAAGCAGCCGATTGTCAGTTTCTGTACAATCATTTAAGTGCATGATGTCCTGCTCAAAGCCACAACACACGTTCATATACGTTAAATACAAAATGACAGGAGCTGTCTTGAACAAACGCATTTCCCGCGCGGGCAGCCAAGCCCAAGGCAAACAAATTGCAGACCCAGCCGCGGGCGTGAGAGTGCAGGGCTTGAGATGGTCGTTCTGGGTCAAAGCTTGGCCGTGGCCACTACACTTGGGCCAGGGGCCCCTCAATGTAACCAAGCAAGCCAAATCTGAACTTTAGGTCGGGTGATCAGTGGAATAAAGGAAGCTTGTCGATAGGCGGCTAGTGCTAGATGCAACATTTAAGGAACAACCCACAAGCGTAAGAACAAATGAAAAAGAAGAAGAAAACAAAAAAACACGTCCTAGGCTTTGCGCATGGGATGATGGCATGCCCGGGTCGATCTTGCGTGCACCAGCAGGCCGCGACTCGTTGATGATGAATTTTAGGCACCTGACGTGGAGCCGAAAGGAGGTCTCAAAGCGCGTCGAAATCGGGAAAACAGCGTCATATAGGATAGCCGTTGAAGAACGGAAAAGGGAAACCCACCAGGAATCTGCCCTGAGGCAACCCGTGAGCCATATCCAACTAGTCACTTTCAGTAAGGAGCCTGCATCTCACGGATGCAGCATGGAAAACAGCTGGTCTGGAAAACCTAAACTCAATACATTCAAGCGATACTTAAAGAGGCAGTGTACTTTGTAAGTGGTTAGTAAGCCTGGGTATAGCCCACTTAGGAGACTTACAACCATGGTAAGTGGGCTATAACTTATATGAGACAGCGTCAAAATTACTTGTCTGGGGTGTATTCATTCGGTGTTAGGACGTCCCGTATCGTTTTACAGGTTTTGCTTAACAAGGACGTCCCGTATCGTTTTGCAGGCCGTGGATACGGGACACATCCCTGCCCCCGTGCTTGCTACCAAACGATTCTTTGCGGGGACAGCGCCAACGTAACAACAACGGAATGGAAGCTCCCACAAGCGGGCGTTCCCCGGAATAAAACCACACAACACGGCGGCCAAAGCGCAATCCCTCCAGCAAAGCAACTCACACCACAGGCCGCAGATTCCTTTTAGTCCCCCTCAGAGATTGAGTTAGAGCTTGAGGAGGAGGAACTTGCAGTTCACACAGAGTCCTCCTCCAACGGCTGTTGCGCCGCTGCTTTTGCCTAGCTTTGCACCTCTTCCCAATCAGCTCTCCCCCCTTGCTGGGTCTGCCACGCTTTCTCTCATCGTTGTCTCCTCAAGTCCTGCCTTTGTCCAGCGAGTGCGCCCCATGCTGCATCCCAGTCTCGAGGTTTCAGGCGCACGCAGTGTTGCGTCAATGTAGTTCCTGGAGCTGGGGTTGTTGAGGTCAAACCCAGGGCCCACGTGCAGCCGCTTGGGGAGAGAGGACGAGGCTGCGTCCAAAGATGCTTGTCACACCCCCACGGCACCGCCGGCGCTGGAGCCGAGAGGCTGGCTGGTGGTCTTCTTCACCTTCTCGCGGGCACTGTTCGCGATCACCTTGACAATTGCTTTTCCGCGCTGTTCGGCTCAGCCTTTGGAGCCGAGGCAGCTCTCTCTATGCGAGCATGCTGCCCCTCCTGGGTCAAAGCGTTCCACTTCTCCTCAACACGCACTCCTCAACCCATCGTGATTCTTCTTGTGTCAGCCCAGCACCGCCGGTTCGTGGCTGCACGGCTGCGAGGCTGCCTGGCAATTCCTGGCATTACAATCCTTGCCCTCTCCAGCATTGCAGTTCTTTCACAAGCCACCCCCAAATTTGTGTCTCCTCGTAAGTGCAGGGGTAGCGCTTTGGTGTCAAGTGGGCCACCCCCGACATTTAGCGCCCTGGCCAATTGCGGGGGTATCGTCGGGGTATCGTTTTGGGGTATCGTTTTGGTGGTCGGTTTTTTTCTGGAAGCGGCGCTTTTTGACAACTGTCTTACTTCCGCTCTAAGGAGCCTCAGAGAAGCGCTGGAGCGTGCAAAATGCAGTCCTGCAGTTTGCTTGCGGCCGAAGAAAGGTACCCTCCCAAGCACCTTGCGTGGCCAGCAAAAGGGCAAGCCAGCGGGACATCCTCAGAATGCATAGCTGCCGTCTTGGTTTCCGTCTATGGACGCTCCACCCTCCAGCTCTCGCGCTTTCTAGCCTTTTTCGTAGCTTTTTCACGCGCAGAGCATCTAGTCTTAAAGGTCACGCGCAGATGCACGCATTCTTCGAAAGAGCTCGCTCATTTAGTTCCAGGATTGCGCAGGTTCCTTCTAAACTTTGTTCACCAAACGGAGAACTACAGTTGCACCCCTTCTAAACTTCCTTGACTGAACGGAGAACTACTTTATTTACATCCCCTTCAAAAACGCAAACGCTAGAAGAAAGACTGTTGCCCAACTACAACTCGTAATGCTTCTTCCTGGCCGGCAGTTACCCCTGCAATGTGGTGGACACATGCTAGAAACATTCGCCCCGTTCAAGCACAGCTTGTTTTTGCCACACGTGTCTTGTCACAAGCCAGCTGGTGCTCCAAATGTGAAGTTTCCTTTTGATCCCCCTGCCCTGCAACCCTTGCAATGGAAGGGCCTAGTTGCAAGTCTCGACCAAGCAAATAAACGCATGCTCTAGGAGAACACACAAACTAACAAGACATTTTTGTTTGCAACCAATGCCAACTTGCTGAAGGGGTATCGTTTTTTTGGACGTCCCGTATCGTTTTTCGAGCAAAAACACAAACACGATACGTGCATGAAACACCCCCATATAAAGTACATGACGGTAATTTTGATGCTAACTCATATAACCAAGCTTACTCACAACAAGTACGCTGCCCCTCTAAGTATCCTTGTGCTTTCGTACTGATCGGTGACCCGGCGGCTGACCGGTGGTTGACACCACAAACCCCCGATTGAAGACTGTTTGGCCCACCCTCAGCCAACACTACTTCAAAGGCAGCCACAAGGATTGGCAACATGACCCCTAAGCACCCAGATTACAATCACGTCTTCCTGCAAGAACAAGAACAGCTAAACATGGCAAAACACAACTTCAACGTACAAAAGCCATTGTCGATACTTCTGCCAACGCTACCTTATAGTTCCAAGGGTTGCCTTTGCCGATGTCGATAAAATCAGGTGGCCAAAGCAGCACCTTGCCAAGGGTTAGTCCAGCGCTGACAGGGCATGCACAGCTCCCCAAACTCATTGGCGCTGTGGCCAATTCGCATAGAGGAGCCACATAAGGGGGAAGACAACTAGGGAGAAACATTGGGTAAATCCATTTAGCCTGGATGTTCCATTTTTCAGCCAGGGCGCTTGCAGTTCAAAGCCGCACACACGGAGCCCAGGACGCACCAGCAGGTCGCACAGTCTCTGCGCCACAGCAGGACACCGAAGACGGTGCCCGAGACCAGCCACTTGGTGCTGTCCTGCTCACACAAAAACAAATCCACAATTTGGCCAGCGCGGCTCCCTCGGCAAACTGAGAACACTCAACATGAGCAGCCCTTGCAGCTGTGCGGCATTGATCCACCGCAGCACCGGGCTCGCCGGATCCGGCATGGCACCATCGGCAGCAAAAGTAAGCTCAGGCCCTGGACTGGCCAGTGAGTTGTTGAGAGTCAAGCCAAGGTCTGCGTCAAACAAACCGCATCCATTCCACAAAAGGTAGCAACGGCTCCAACACTAAACCGAGGTGCCGGCATGTAATAATTGCGGACTTGAAATCACGTGACAAGGTCATTGCCACCTTTGCTCTAAGTACGTTTATCAGGTCCTTGCCAACTGGCTCAGCAACTTTGAGGCATAACGGCAGCTGTGGATGGCCAACATTTGCCGACCGTCCAGCGACCGGTCGCAAAGCTGAGATCTCCAATAGCACAGGCTGCCTAGTCAGTATTTGTGACAAATGCCAGGTCTGAAGTTCATGGGGGAGGAAGGGGAGTGCATTGGTGCTTTTGCTTACCGGGAACCCTCAGAAGAAATGCGTTGATTACCTCATGGCCAGCTAAGAAAGCAGGTCTTCTGTCAGTGGCACAAACAATCCGGCTTGTCAGCTTGGCGTTTAGATCAGAAATAGGAGCGTCGAAAGTCACCGTGCACCCAACGAATACTAGCTCTTGTTTTCCAGGGCCTTTCAAGCTGAAGATCAGCACTGGATCCTCCTCCTGAGCAGAAAGGCACTTCGCCGGCGGCTTCCAGCCTACCAAAAAAAATACGGCAAACCTGGTGCAAGTACTGGGAAAAACATGGAAGACTGGCAACGGAAACATTCAGCCTGGCCGCAAGATTCTAGCTGATGAATGATGATGGGTGCCATCTAGACTCTGCCACGACGGCTGGCTGCAGAAAGACTCTGTTCATGCGATGAACATGAGAACTTGATGCCGCTTAACTAGTTCCCTTGTGGACCTTCAAAATTGAAGATCAACAAAGCTACGTATGTCCATAGCTGTTTTTCGCAAGCAATAATTTCCTCGATGCTGGGAATGGTGAGTCCCATTGAGCTGGAACTGGTTGGTTCGGACCCTGCGCCTCTGCCGTGATGATTTGTCGTGCGCAGCATCACCGCATGGAATGAGATGACATGAGATGACGCTTACAAACCATCCAATAGGTGGTTTCCTTTAAGGAGACCACAAGTTTGATCCACATTCCCTACATTTCCCTACCTATCGCACCAGCAAGATGATTGGTCCGGAATTCCCATCCCCCCCCATCTCGCCCCCGAGTGCCTCCAAACTGCGCTCAGCCCACGGCGGCATCGGCCCATCCAGGATCCGCGCAGCGGCCCCCCAGCGCTCCTGCAGGGACGACCACAAGGCCGCAGCTTGCTCGTGGCCCCGCAGGCCGTGCGCCAGCAGCGACTCGGTCGCCTCACAGGGCCATGGACCCCGAAGAATGGGACTCCGTTTGCATCCAAGTTCACTTTAGTCCCGCTGCTGCACCCGTGTAGGACAGTTTAGGCAACCACGGTTCAAACAAGTATCTGCTTTTTGACCAACCGCCAGCTGAGCCAACCAAGCTGTTTCAGAGAGCGATCACCCCAATTGCAAACCTGCCTCACATGCCAAAGAGGAGATCAGATCCAGCAAGGCCGTCAAGCTCTGCTGGCTGCAGTTGTAGGTGATGTCTGCACCCAGGATCACGTCGAACGGCGATGTCCGCACCGGATCCAAATGTTCCGTCTCCCGAGCCTCCTGGCTTCACTCTGCGAGAAAAGCTGTGTTTGCGTCTGTTTGTGTCTGTGTGTGTGTGCGCCCCAGTCTGTGATTGTGTGTCTGCATGTTTGTGTGTGTTGTGTTTTGGTGGTTGTACTGTCGTGTTTGCGTTCTAGCGCGTATGCTTCGCCTGGTACTTGTGGTTGTTGTTGTGCTTGTGCGGGTCTTTCACTCTAGTATGCACGCACGTGTGAATGTATACCCCCGGTGTATAATGAATGCGTACTCGGTGTTTCCGAAGCCAATCAGCTGCTCAAGTATGATTGCATTCTAAGCTGATCAAAGGAGCACCCAGCCATTGTGTAGGCCAAGCGGTTTACTACATCCCAGCCTTCTGTGCAACCGCGATCCAAGAAAGCCGCTTAAGTTTTCAAGTACCTTGCTGCACGTGCCAATGAGTGGCATGTTTCCAAAGCCCGCAGAAGCCCTTCCCAAGCCACAAGCCCATGAGCGCCCACGAGGCACCTGAGCCCAGTCCTCTTCTCCCCAGCGCAGCTTCTTGACTTCGAAGGGTCTTGCATTCAGCGTGCTGCTCTGGCGCAGCCGATGCAGCACCGCGTCTGAGATCGTCGCGCAAGACACGCGAGGGCCCGAGGGACACGGCATGCCATGGTCAGGCAAAGAAGCTAGGTTCGTTTTCCCGCCGGTCGGTCTGGAACGCGGCACTGAGAGGCATAAGCTGGGGAAACTGCTACTTGATCCGCCTTATAACTCACAACTGAACGCCGTGCAATCATCTCGCCACTCAAACAGCCCCAAACGGCTTGATGGTGGCCGACCCCTTCGGCCACAGCCAGGCACCAAGGCTCACAAGGTTCAGCAACCGCAGGAAGTCACGGCGGATGAGAGGGAACAAGATAAGCTGTTCGTCTGTTTATTGACTTATGACTGACGAACCTCAAACATCCAAACTTCAGGCACACCCGACATGAGTGACCATCTCCAGTGCGTTAAGTTGGGCTTCGGAAATTCTCCAAAAGCCAGCCCCACAGTTATTACGCTCCAAACCTGCCGCGCGTAGCCCGCGCCTTCGCCGTCGGAGGCCGTGACGGCCGCCCCCAGCTGGGCGCAGAGCGCAGAGACCAGGCCGCAGCCGGCGCCCAGCTCCAGCAGCCGCGCGCCCTGCAGGCCTCGAAACGCACCAGCCAGCGAGAGGGAGCGAGCGGATCCGTCCATGAATTGCCATAAGGTTTCCCAAACCCACACCCAACACGTGCCACATGTGGGCATGAACTTTTTTTGGGAACCATGGTGGGCATCATGTCCGAACGTCAGCGGCTATTTAAGTTGTGACGTCTTTAAGGCTACCCTTTCTTAGGTCGTTTTCAGGGGACACCACAAAAACCATTGATCAAAAAGAGCAACAAACGTCGGTTTGAAGGGAAAACAAAGAAAACAACAACAACAACAAATAGCTCACATTTTGAGGAGGTTGTCCTTGAAACATCCGCCTTCGCACCAGGCTGCGGGTTCTCCTTTCGCTCGGCGCGTCCTTTGCTAGGAGCTCTGCCAGGCGCCGGGCCGCCGGCCAAATGCGGAGCCCTGTGAGGCTGCGCATGGCCACGTCCACCTGACCAGTCTCCCCTGTTTGCCTCCTTGTCGTTGCACCGGAAACGCGAAAACAGTGGGGGTGTCTTCCTTTTGTTTGGGGGGGGGCCCTGTGTTTGCGGTTGTTTAAGGAGTCTTTAAAGGGAAAACATCCGGAGAACCGCAATTGGTGTGGGGGGGTTCCCCTGAAAAAGAGACTTTCAAATGTCAAGTACCCTCCCAAAAACAAACATAGAAACATGCGAGGCTCCTGGTCTTCCAGAGAAGCCTCAGTTCAGCTTCTATGCTTGGTTTTGTCGCAAGGTGAAATTGGTATGGTTGATTAATGGCGGGCCCCACATCAACACACATTGAGAACCCAAATCAACCAAGCAATGCGCCATTCTCCCGTCAGCGCCTGCACCACCACCTCCACCTGCCCAAAATGCCAGCGCTCCACCGTCTCCACGGCCCCCTCGGCGTAGTAACCCAAGCCTGCGAAGTGCGAGCTGGCCAAAGCATGGCCCAAGGACTCGCCAGCCCAAAGGATGGCCCACTGAACCTGAAGCCGCAGAAGCCCACCACAGGCGTCCTTTTGGACAAATCGATGGCCCAGGGCCGCCAGGGCCATGCTTCACCCAAACAACCGAAAAGAACACCAAGTCCGGCCAACCGGTGTGTCGATTCAGCGCCCAACTGCAGAAGCAGGAAAGCGATACTTGCCGCGAGTGGGCAGATGCAGCGCATGTCAAGGACCAAAAAAGGGTCCGCAAGAGAGTGGGCTTGAAGAGGTTCAACTTTCGCTAGTTATTTCGACACTTAGCCTGCCAAGAAGTGTTGAACCGCGAATATTTTCGGCCGGATGAACCTACCTCAGAGGCCCGCGGCACTGTGCGTGGTGAAACCTATGGTTGGTTGGCATTTTACAGGGGAATCGAATCGTGTTTTTGGGGTTCTGAGGTGGTGCGACATGGATTTCACAACCATCGGTACGTCACTGCCTGAAGGGCCCATCTTGAAGACGAAGCCGGGCCGGGCTCCGGCAAAGCCATCTGCGGCTTGGAAGGCCATGGCTCCGGGTGAGCCTTACGAGATGGAGAAGCTTGGCTATGCTCAGATAGAAGCAACATAGAAGAACGTACACGAACAAAGGGTCAAGCATTCTAAAACAAATGGAAGCAACAACATAGAAGAACCTAGAAGAACCGGGTAAAGTTCTGTAAAAAGAAATGCAGTCGTTTGATCATTAGACTGCCTCATGCGTCGTCAGCTGAACGAAGATTGAGAGCCCCAATTGCTGCCGGGAAATGGCCAACCTTCGGCTGCTAGCACAGCTCAAATCCTCAAAAAGCGGGCCCAAAAAAACGGGCAAAAAACACAACCGAGCATCTACCTACAGAGGTTTTCCCCTGAAGCTGAAGTCGGAGCTGCCCGAATCCAGGCCGCCGGCTTCCAAGAGGCCTCGCCTTCGATGCCTTGGGCCTCAGCACACCAACCGGACTGAGTGATGCCATGTGGGGCTCCTGGGGCGGCTGGCTGCGGTCTTTAAGTGAAAAGCCGAGACATACGCCACATTGAGCTCTCCAACCTCTCTTGTTGCCTTTCTTGTTTCGCGATTTTCGACTGTGGCACGCCTTTGGCGCGGTGAAACAGCAGAGCGCTGCAATTATTTTCGGGAGTGGCGGACTGCCTGAGGGGCGGTGCCGGGGTTGCTGTGAATGCCGATTGCATGCACGTCAATTGGCTCACCCTTCGGAATGCAACAGCTTCTTTTCACTCCCCTTCAAGGCTGGCCCTAACGATCAGTACCTAGGCTGATGCGTGCAGGAAATTGACTCCCTCGGTGGAATGCACTTCAAAAGTTATCCTAGAGAAGAAATCGACCACTGACCAATCTGATGAAATAATAGGAAATACCTGGACCGTCCAAACAGAATTTGAGATTGGATGTTTGGCATTAAATGATGGGCGGCAAAGGTACTTCCATGTCATGAGTAAAGGGCGGCTTCTACCACCCACATAATGTTGACCCTCTATTGGTCAACCCCAGTTATCAATAGGGGGTGTCCATGGGTTTAGTGGGGAATCTTCACTTTTGGAGGGGAACACCCCCCTATTAATAAACTGCGGTTGATTAATAGTCATGCACAAATTGGATCAGCCAGTCAGGCATCCACAGCTCACTGCCGTGAAACTCTGCTCCGATGTACCTCCTGCGGGTGCAAAACAGCGTGCCATTTCATGCCTCAAGCTCGGGTCTGTGCTGCTTGTTCTTGGGCGAGCCAGAGCACAAGAGAAGTAGAGACGGGAGATTCGACGTATGATGATCGCACAAGCTGGCATCATGTGCAAGGCGCCGCGTGTACTCTTAAGCACCGCGTACATGAGCATGCTAAAGACCTCCATGCAAGTCAATAACAACATCTGGGCATGGTCAAAAGTAGTCACCACCAGGAATGGGACCACAGGAGCTTTAGTCCTTGTTATCATTTACCTACCAGGGCTTGCAAACCATTTCGGGGTGACCGACTATTTCTTGACTCACAGCGATTGATCCATGGCCAAGCTGCCGGCCTGGCAAGACCACCAGGTCCTTCCTGGAATCCGATCCCTGGCCGGCGGCCCGTTGCTTCCAGCTAGAAGCCTCAGGCACTGAGGGTGCGAGGGTTCAAGATGTGGGTTGGCCCGACAAAAGTTGAACTTTTTATTTACCACCTAAATGGCCAACCGACCAAAAAAAGGAAGTCCAGGAACTCGCGTGAGACATGCGCGCTGAGGCCGCCACCGGTTTTGTGCCTCTTCTCCTGGCCAGGCGGTGAGAAGAGGAAAGGCCCGCATGCGGGTCCAGTGATTTGTTCGATGGATCTGCCGGCATTGCACGGTTTAACCCGGGACGCGGCAAACTGCCGTTGGCCAGCATTTGGAATTGGTCACAGGCAATCTCAGCGAATGGTTTGAAGCAAACTGACAAACTATGCCTTCTGCAGCCATGTGCAGGGGTGTCTAAGAAGGCGGGCTGAGCCATCCTCAAACATGAATTGCATCTAAAGATGGTGGTTTGAAGACAAACTACACCCAACACTTCATTTTGAGAGCCAGTACAGCCACCTTGACCCCAAACCGCTCGTTTTACCTTCTTGCCAGGCATGTGCCGGCCTCTGCCGCGATGCGCCGCAGCTTGTCGATTCGCTGCTTCTCCTGGGAGGTAACCCCAGAGAGTCTGGGTTCCCTTTATTTTGGTGGAAAAAATCATGTTTCAAATGGGCAAAATGTATCTGTTAAGGAGCCCTGCTCAAAATGCCTGATTCATAGCTTCTGTCGGCATGTGCTTGCTTGAGGCTTGGCTCTGTCGCTGCCCTGTGCGCGAGCCTTGTGGCAGTGTAAACAATCCCCCGCAGGCTGCCCCAAAACGCTGAACCAAAGCCTGCCCAAAGCAAAGGATCTGGTGAGACAATGATGGCAAGCTCAAGCCTGCCGGGCCTGCTGCCACAGTGTCAGGACGTTTGATCAGTTTGATCCATCCCATCGCCGAAAAACCCGTCCTTCACTTTCACTTGCCTCAGAGCGTGGCGGGTCTGCAACTAACACGGCCCGAACTGCAAGCAAACCACAAGCCTGCCAAACAAAATGAGAAGGTGAGGCTGCTCCAAATTCATTCCACCCCGTGCCAGTGTTTTGGTAATTCATTGGAGCGATGTTTTGCTAACCACGGCCAAGCCGCATCTCGTCGCCCAAGCAAAATCAGGTGAGAAGGTTGGCAACACACGAATGCACATGCAAACAACTGAGAAGCGTTTCTCAAGAAATCGGGGTGTTTGCTCGCAGCCACTTTCGAAAGCGATGCGGCATTCCCAGCGAGTCGGCCCGCTGCCCGCCATGACCCTCATCAAGCCAAGTCATTTGTGAACCATTCGTTGCTTTCGGCTAGCCGGCAGCGACACCTTCGGCCTGCCTGCCATTGCTGAAGCCTCATGATTTTCTTTTGTTCCCCCGGATGGCTGGCAAAGGCCCGGGCTGAGGTGTTTTTACCAAGCAAGCAAGCAAGCAAACAACCAACCAACCCTAGCCAAACAAAAACAAACACCCTTTCCCAACGACCCGGACCCAATAAAACTATCTACGCGCCCCCTTGCTATCCTGGCCATCTGCCAAGCTGCTCCTCCTTGACACGCTGCAAATGGAAGGGCAACGGCGGAGGCGGCGGCTGGTTCTTCCTGGCCGACGGATTTGCTCATTCGGCGGCCCGTTTGCGCATCGGGACCCTGCTAAAACTGCCACTCAACCAACTAGAAACAAAAAAGCTATTGAGCCATCCGCTGAAAACCACCAATATTGGTGATAAAGGGCACAAGGCCAACAACACATTTTTGAAAATGCTCGCGTTGAACAATTTCCGCTCTCGATTTGTGCTTAGGTCCTTAATTTTTAACATTGCTTGCTGGTTCTCAGCATGAGGGAATGACCTCTATAAACAATCCCCGAGTTGGTTTTCTGTCAGGGAATCCCCTCCCGGTTCATTCCCAACGCCCGGACTCGGTCATTCCCTACTGAGCACAAGCAAGTTTGATCCTTTGTACGGCCGGGACATGGCTCAATGCCCGGCCTGGCTTCCTTCCTGCGATGTTTCTCCGCTTTGGCCTCTTGGATTGCTGCCCACTCCTGCCTGCAATGCTCACCAGATCAAATCAGGGGTGCCTCGATGGATCCTCTACACTGGTTTGGGTCTAACCCTTCTTCAAACAATTGGTGGTTTGGAGCCCGGTGGTTGAGTGGATTTGCGGGGTGGTTTCCCATTAACCCTCCAACAACCTTGTCAAATCCCCAAACCACCAATCAATTGATCTGACTTGTTTGGCCAGCTCCGGGGTGTGGCGTTCGCGCATGGGGCATCGTGGGGCCTCTCTGCTTCCTTCCGCTTCTCTTCCCTGGTAGGCTGCGGCTCATCCTGGCAGGGAGCCCGCTGAAACATTCTGGCCTCATGGGCGCCCGTGCGCTTGCCAAACCTCACAAACACATTGGGACCACGTATTTGCCCAACAGCACAGTCTGTGTGGCATTGCGTCAAGTGGGCATTCAAAGAGGCTCGGTAGACAGGTAGACACAAGCAAGGTTTGCACGTTTTGTTTGAAGCTCAGCCCGGAAATGAAAAGAGAACACAACTCCTGTGGCTGCCCTGTGAGTCCCTTCCCCGTGCATCCAAGCCTTTTGCAGCCTCTCGGCTCGTCGCTGCAAACTCAGGGCACGGGCAGCATCCAACCGGTCAAAGCTCACCACCGAATGACATGTTCCAACACGTCAGGGTGTTTAAGGTATGAATTTGTCAATGGCCAATGGCCAAGTGATCCATCATAAGGTGGGTAGCTCTCCACTCCCGATTGAAATGAAGGCCAAGGGCGAAGCCTTGACAAGTCGTGGCTCCATTCCAGGAAGCGAATGCTAAATACAGGAGCGCTGCACAAACTGGAGCCGCTTCAGGGTAAGGGCGCCACATCCGCAAACAACGACTGCTAACAACCACAGCCCCTCAGCTGGTCCAAGGCGCAACTCTTGCTTCTTGATCTCCTCCCAAGGATCGTAGCTCTTCTTGGGCATCAGGCCTCACATTAGCGGAACGCCCTCTTTGGCATATCGAAGGAACTCATCGGTTTGATGTTGGGAAAGTGGCGCACAAGGAGAGCTTCTCCGAATTTGGCATCTTGTCTAGCGATGATCAACGCAAATGCACGTGAATCCCTGCAACAAGCAAGCAGCGGGGAGCATGACTAGCTGACTAGCTCGAGTTCCTGGTGTTTAAGGCCAAGCCATCGAAAGCGATAGTCGATCAAAAAAAATCCTCGCTGTCACACTCACATCGCCTCGCCTTCTTTGAACTCTCTACCCCGGAGCTGCTCAGACTTCACGAACTTGTTGCGGCCCCTCTTGGACATCAGGACTGGGTCCTTCTCATCATGGTCACTGCGGACCTGAGAAAAGCATGCCATGGAGTCAGCCCTGCACCACTCCTTGCTAGTGCCAGGATGTGCCAGGAACAAAACACAAAAAATCCGTCAATCCTTCAAGGTTGGGTTGTTTGATGCCGTGGCTGCCCAATCATATCACTCGCCAGAATATTTGTTGGGCTGGCATCGATCAAGACAAGCGAATGGGCGCATGATGATCATTGCGTCAGTCTTTGGAAAACAACAATAGGGCGTCGACCAGGTATGAGCCATCCTCTGGCAAAACCCGTGCACGAAGGGAAGGCCCATCTGACCCCCTTCCCCCCCCCCCAGGATTGACGAACGCCTCTGCATGTCACAGCGGCTCTCTGCATAGCAGACCTGCTCACTTTAAATTGCCTTTTGCAGTCCGCGCCCCTCTTCCCCCGCGCCAAGCTGAGACGAGCAGCCACGGCGCCGTCCATGTCATCCATAGTATCCACAAGCTCTGCCAGGTGGTCATTCAAATAATTCACCTGGATCAATTGCAGCCAGAATCAGCCAAACAACCAAAGAAGCGGCTTGCCTTCTCAAATAGGGCCTTTAAAAATTCAACACAGCAAAGTCTGTCTGAATGTGATTGCACGGCAAGTGTCGCCTTTCGATATGAAAGAAAGCTCGGAAGTGGTGATCCCTTGAGCCGAATGATGGCATGGGTGATTGAGGGGGCTGTTCGGGGCGTGAGGGCCCACCAAGGATTTTGCCTGTCTGCCCGTTTCGCGCCCGTGCCTGACTCTGATGCATATCGCACCAGGAAAGCCGGCGATTGAGGTCTACGGACCTGGGGCAGAAGGCCATCAGAGGTCTGCTTTGGCAGGGGCCAGTGAATTCAAACAATAGATACAATGAAGTTCAACATGATGGCATTGCTGCTTGAAACACTGAGCCCGCTTGCGGCAGACATGAAAAACAGTTTGTAAAGGGGCTACACTCAACAACACCCAGCTTGTTACCCTAAGGGGTTGGCACCCGCATTGTCCAGCGGAATTTCGCTAGAGTACCCTTGACCCATGAATGCGCATTGCGAATATGGGTGTGTTTTTGTTCAGGGGACCCCCGAAAATGGCGGTATTCCTTGTCATGTCCGTTTCAACCAACCCCGACAAAGGGTACTCTCGAAAAAGGCACATCCATATGAATCATTGCTCACATCAATAGGCCAAAGTGACCATGCTGCTTTTGTGTCCGGTCCAAATTTTCCGTGCAAGTCCCCAAGTAACTCTGGGAATAGGTCCATAAATTCTGACAATGAACATGGAACCTGACAGGGGGCCTTGGAAGACCATGTTCGTTTAAAGGGACCCTCTGTCAGGTTCTATGTTATTTGGTGGAGGTATATCATGAATCTCTCTCTCTCTCTCTCTCTCTGTTTTTCCTCCTGGAATCTTTACTGAGCAGCCACCATGGCTTCAATCAGTTCACGCACAACCAGGACTGTCACGGCATCCGCATCCCACTACACCTGAAATATCCGGGGTTGGTCAGTTCTCAGCGACTGTTGCTGGACCTCCCCTCCAAATGGCGGTTTTCCTTATGGCTCTGCTTTAAAAACCCCTCCAAAACGGACACCCCCCCCCCTCCAAAAAGACAAACATCCAGATTACCGGCGTACAGTACCCAATGCTACCCCTCCATTAGCTTAAGTCCCCTGGAAAAAATGACAAACATATCTGATTCCCTTTAAAACCCAACCGGGGAAAATGAAAAAAACGACATACTGCAAGCACCCTCAGCCAGACCCAGCCGGACCCACGGCCCCACGGCCCCACGAAGGAAGCGGCATCTGGTGCAGGTCGCAGGCCGCCGCCTGGCCGCGCAGCCGCTGCACCCCGCGGAAGAACCTGCGCAGCGAGGCGGCCGCCCCCCGCACGGCGACCGTTTCCGCGCCCCCGACGGCCCATTTGTCCGTGGGAAAAAGGGGAGCCGAACTTATTTGGAGAGCAAATCACGCATACATCCCGAAGAATAGAATTTGTGAAATTGTAGACTAAATTAAAAGGTGGAGGGTGAATGCGCAGGATCACTGGGGGAAACAGAAAACCCCGAAGAATCCACCAGCTCAGATTCTTGGTGGACATTAATTACATCATGCAAGCGATGTTCAGTCCCCCAAAGTGGACTCAAAACCCTCTTTTGACGGGAGGTGCCATGTGCCAACGACTCTGAACTAAGCGTTGAGTTTTGCAGGAGTGTTTGGGCCCCCACCTTGACAATGACTCGTCACAGGTGCGTGCAAATGCTGCTTCCCTTGAGATCTCGCAGCCCCTTGAACGATCCAAAGGATATATATGCTATGAGGCACTGGTTGGAGCCAACTCAAAAACAACTTCCAAGTTGGAGATGTCAAGCTGGCTGCACCCAATACACATGGTCGCAACGTGCGTTCAACGCAAGGACCAGGCCAGCTTGTCAAACTCCCCGCTGAGAAACATGGGAAGCAAGGCTGTGCAAGCGCAGAAGCAAATAGCTTCGGCTGACAAAACGGAGAAGCTGGACAAGCAAACCTGCGGCAAGCAGTCAAAACTCAAGGACAGCTGGAGACATGCAAGTGAGATCAAGAATGAACAACTGCGGTTGCTAAGGCGCACATACGTGAACACGAGCACCGCGCGCGAACACGCGCACCGCGCGCGTTTCAAAGGGATCCATGGGCCTCGGACCTGCCAGGATTTTGGCCAGACATGGCACTCGCCTGTCCGCGTTGACCTGGCCGCTGCTCTCATCATCCAAGATTTGAAAGAGCATCTCGAGATCCTGGCAAAACGCACACAGCAGCGCTGAGACGTGTCGCCTCTTGTCGTCTGGGAAGTTTTTTGGGGCCTTCGTCTCTGTTCCAAGTAGTCGGATGCATCGTGAGATCAAAGGCTCCGAGCCATGATGGATGGAGCACCCCATGGACATCTCTGTGTCAAAGACGGGCAGCCATGAGGGCTGCCACCAAGTTCGAACCTGGTGATTTTTTCAGGCGGGATTCAGGGCCCATGCCAACCATAGAAGCAAGTCAAGCCCTGCATGCACACGAGCCAATTAAATTCATTGGTTTGGAAGCTGCTGAACGACCTTTGCACGCGTGGAGCCGCGTTTCTTCCCTGGGATAGGCAAACTGACTTGAATCCCGGGCTTCGAGCTTGCTCCCGGGCTGGGAGGTATCTCCCGAGCCAAGCAAGCCGAAGGCGGGATCTCACGGCATCCTGTCCTTGAAGGGGATGCGAAGCAATCTCAGGCGGTCCCGCACCCTGAAGTTGCCTCGGAATACATGAAAACACGCCTTTGCAAGCAGGCGCCGCGCACGGAAAGTCGCATGAGACGTGCAAGGCAGGTGGCAATTTCCGCCGGAAACGATCGGTGCACAGAAAACCCATGGTGCACAGATCGGTGCCGAGCAGCTGAAAGAGGTCCGCAGCTCGTCCTGGCGCCAGGAGCTGCGATCCCAGATCGACCAAACTCGGCCCTGGGCTGCCCTGAAGCCAAACTTCTGCCCACGCTTGAGGGGCAAGGAGGGGCCGTTCAAGGCGAACTGCTTGCTGTGCAAGTCTGCGTGTGCCGCAAAAGGTCGGCAAAAGCAGTGGCACTTCCCGAAAGCCGCCTGCCACGAACACACACACACACACACACACAGAAGCAGGCGAACAAACCAAGCAACCAACAAGCAACACAAACGGTCGAACAGCTAGCAAGCCCAAGGAAGCGACATATCATTTCATATCACATCGCAACACAACACAACACATCACAACACACACACACACAACAAACCAAAATCGCCAACAGGCATATCCCGCAACCCAACAGAAGCACAACCCAAACAAAGACCGCGTATGCCTCGCCTTGTCCAGCTGCCCAGATTTGTCCGTATCCGCGTCGTGGAAGATCTGCTTCATGGACTCCAAGACCTGAACTTTTATCTGACGCGTTCGGCACCCAAATCGGTGTGAATTTTAACAGGATGGTGGCTTCCCTTTTATTTTGAAGGAAAAAGCCAATGTTTCTCAATGGGCAAAATGTATCTTTTAAGGAGCCCTGTAATTTAAAAAGGGATTTTTGGGTGGACATCATTTAGGTGGGGATCCATGTCCACCAATCACTGTTGAGGTGGTTCCCTATTAAAATTCTTGGCCAAATGAACATGGCAACTTGTGCCATTGAGTGGTTGAAATATCACATCTTTTTAGTGGTTTTCCAGCCAAATGCTCATGTAAAGGACCCCTTCAACCCCACATGGAAATAAGAGCTCCCCCCAAGAAATGAGACACAGTCTTGACGCCAGCGGTTTGCTTCCGTGGCTGAACCGATCAGGGTGAAGCTCTTGCACGGTCCTCCTTAAAAGGCCAAATCTATGGCTCTTTGAGAACAAGTCGCAACAAGTTGTAGCGCTTGCTGCGAAAACCGCTATGCAAAATTGGATGCTGCCACATCTTTCATTAATGAAGCAAATCCCAAATGACGCAATCGCCAGGCCACACTGGACCCTGGCGTTGTCGTCACCATGTTTTCTAACTTTCCCAAAGTTTGGGGCCCAAGCCCCAAGAAACCTGGGCTCAAGAAACCGGGCGCAACCCAAGAACCAAACATCCACCAGTCCCCGCCTGCGCATCCACTCGCTCCTTCTCCTGGGACGTTTGCACGGAAGGGAACTCAACTCAGGTGCAAGGAAGCTGGAAGGGAGTCCTTTGCAGGAAGCCTTCATGACCAGCCCTACCAAATCCGAGTAAAGAGGTGTTTTGACAATTGGGTGTGTCAAAAGAAAACCACTTTTTTTTGGGGGGGGGAGGGGCCTCCCCGAAAAAAAAATACACCCAATTCTCTGACAACGGCCAGCCAGTGGCCACATCTCCCTCGAAACGCCGAAGAGGAAAGCGCATCCCCCCTGGTCGATTTGCCAAGAGGACCACAGAGTTTCAAGCATCACTGACAAGGAGTTTGACATACATGGGCGTGTACAATATGTACATATGCACACCGACAGATACGTCTGTGATCCATGCATTCTTTGGCCTTCGGAAACCTCAGCGAGATGTTCGCTACCAAGGCGCCTTCTGTTCCCGGTCCGCGGTGGCACGGGCGCTAGCCAGAGTGCTCTCCTGGGTTCAATCATGCGCCTCCCTACAACCCCTCGGAAAGTTCGGCACTGCATGGTGATATGTCAACTAAGACGCAAATGAAGAAGCCAGTTCAAGCCTTCAAATCAGGGGAAGCTGGTCACCAAGTGCCCTGCTCTTCTGCCACCACTTTCTGAAGGGTCTCATTGGGGCTTGAGCTTTGGATACAGTGAAATGCAGTCCGCAGCCTGTTTTTCCCCCAGCCACCTGCCGCTCTAGCGTTGTTACTCCGTGCCCCGCCCAGAACATCCCAGAACATCCGACATAATCGCAAAACCTCGTGCTATCACCATGATCTTCAGCCCCCCCCCCCTTGCCATCTGCAGTTACCCCCAAGGTCTCGCTTCAACCTCCGACCTGGGAAAAAAAACGGCTTGCCATTCCAAGTCTGGTGTGAGTCTGGGTCAAGAAACTTTGGCGTACACGGCGCTGGCAAGTGCAACATTCCAACCGCAACACACCTGGAAAGAGCTCCGAATGGCTAGTACAAAACAAAATGAGGTTGCCGCGCTCAGCACCAATCGAGGCTGCGCTCCACCAAATCCCTGCTGCTGACAAGTATTCACGATGTCGGGCAGGCTGTTCAGAATAAGGACTGCCACTCAGATAGCTGTCACCATCCAAATTAGAGCTCTCCACTACTGACATGGACATTTGCAGTGTGAAATCCCTGTATGTTTATGGCAATTGGTGACATCGTGGGTGGAGTCCTTTTGCCATGCCACCCCGGCCACCCCCCACATCTGTAGCACGTGAACTTCTTTTTCTGCCAAGGAACCACCACCACGCCGACGATGGAGTTCATCAGCGACTGGGCCAAAAGCACATTTGAATGCCCCTAAATGCAAAGAATCATGTCCTGGAGTTGGCCTTCCAAAGCCAGCAAAACTTGGGAAAAGGTGGGGGGCGGCAATTCTGCGGGTGAAATCGGGTGAAGCTACATCTTCGGTGTGCACTCCTCTCCTGCGACAACTCACTATTTTCCTGCGCCCCACAGTCTCCAGCCTGCGGCCTTCAAATTCTCGCCAACGGAAAAAGAAACAAAGCAAGGCCATTCGCCACCGGAAAAAAAAAGGTCATGAGACCAGGCCTGGTTCTTCAGGCACCCAAAAAAAACGTTTGCAGCTTCGTCCGAAAGCCACCCACCGACCGGCACAGACCTTAGCTCATGGCCAGGCTCGCCACGGTGAAGAAGGCGATGAACACCACCATGAGCTCGGGGTTCCTATGGACACGCCGGGGCCGCTTGGGATGCCGGAAAGAAACCGACATCCGTTGCGCGCGAAGCGCTGCAAAACTGGGGGGTGGAACCGGTGCGGGTTGGCATTTGCAGAAAAAATCATCCGAAATCAGGGTGGCTGAACGGTGCGAAACAGATTTCGCAACCATCAGTAGCTGCTAGCTCCCAAAAGAAGCGCGGCCCCACCTACGCACTCGCGCCAAATGCAGACAGGAGTCGACTCCACCAGAGGCCAAACCAGGGAATCTGACCACTTGTCGCGGGTCACCACCTCAAATGGACTGGGTTCAAAAGGTTCCGATCAACATGGTATGACGATTTGGTTGGAAAACCTCAACACATATGTGCTAACTCAAGCACATGAAGAAAGTCGCCCATGGTCATTTGGGGGCCTTCGAGGGAGTAATTATTGATCAACCCACTTGCTACAAAAGATGTTCCTTGCAGTCCCTCCCTGAGAAGGTGCCCGGAGGCCTCGTGTTGGCTCGAGCTACTCGGCTTTGGGACCCTGCCTGGAACAAGGAGTACGAGCTGCGAAGCACCGAGCCCCAGTACCTCGGCCCCAGTGCCATCCCAAGCGCCACAAGCAGAAGCGCCTTTTTCTTGCGTGAGTCGGGTGTCGAGTGGTCTATATACATGTGGTTTCCCTTTGAACCAATCCCAGAAAAAGAGGTACTGCTGAAAAACGAGGCGCCCAATTTGCATTTCAGAACGCAAGTTTTTCAATGCCCTCAGCCCGTAGGGCCCTTCCACTCAGCGGAACGCTCCAAGCTTGCAGGAAAGATGCTCATTGAAATCCCACTCCGCCCGTTCTAGGTTGAAGTCCTGCCGCTCGGATTGATGCTCACATGGACCCGGGCCCCAAAGAAGGGCCCAACACCGGACCGTGGATTTTTTCAAATGAGCCAGAAGATTCCTGAAACTACTTGAGAAAAGCACCATCAGATGCCCACTTTGCCCGCAAAACTTGCTCACCCCCTCCGGATCTCAAGAAAAACCTCTTCAAAGCCAGCTTTTGGAAAAAGCCAGGAGGTTTGTTTGGCCAACTCAGCCAACTCACCATGCCGAGCTTGAAATTCTCCATGCCTCCTGAGTCTTGTCGAGCACTGCCATCGACACCCTTGGCTTCTGCGCACTCCAGCACCCTCAAGCATGCAGCAAGTTGATGTAGCCTTGTCATACCAAAGCAGAACGGTATTGCTGACCTCAAACCTACCGCCAAACTGACCGTCATGGCACTGTCGTCCCTACACGTATGCAACATTGCCGATGCTCAAATGAACATGCTAAGCTGTGACCTGTGAAACCGCCAAGGGCACTTAAATCAAACATCCATCCCACGACCTTTGACCATTTGGTGTCCGGGCTTGACAAAGCTTGTTGAATTTTCATGATGGTCCCGCGGATGTGAATCTGCGGCACGAATTTGCGTGACTGAAGCGTGCTCCCCAGGACCCTGAGTTTGTGAGTCAAAGCAGCATACCATACATGTATCCACCAGCCAGAAAACGACCCAAATGGTACAAACAAGTCAATGTAGGTCCTCCCTGTTAAAGGCGTCACACATGCATGCCTCTGTCATGGCCCTGACACGAACGAAGCAGAATAAACATCCATGATAATGCTGCTAACGCAGCGCTCTGCAATGCAGTGCCCCTCGTCTGAGGGATGGCCGTATTGACACGCGCTCTGGCATCCCCAACTTCCCGCCAGGCAGCAGGATGCCACAAACGTAGATGACACCAATCACCATGATGCCAACCCAGAAAAGAGTCCTTGGCTGCGGTTTCCAAATGCACCTGCTGGACCTTGTTCTGCGTGTATCGGGCATGCTTCTTGTTGATGTGCTTGTGGGAGTTTGTAGTGCGGAATCCGCGAAACAGAAGAGGAAGATCTCCGATAAGCAATCCTGAACAATTCCGGATTTTTGCGACTTGCTTGCAAACGACATATATGTCATTGATCGAAACTGGAAGCACCAGCAGGTTCAATACGCAACTCAAGGGAAGCCGCCATGAACTTCCTTCCAACACTTCCTTGCATGGACCGCACGGCCGCACACCAGTAACCCTCGCAAACTCGACCGTCTTCGAGGTAGTTGAGACGCCTCCTGTGTGAGTTGGCGGGCATGGAAGCTCTGGCAATAGGCGGCTATGCCCACAGGCAACCAACTGGCCATGGGTCAAAATCCCGTACCCCAGTGAACATCCCAATCCCCACTAAAATAGACTAAAATGGGCGGTGCACCTACCCCAAAATGGTACCATTGGTGTTGACCCACAGCCAACTATGATTAGCTAGTGGTTAAGCACGCCTTCACGGCCTTGCAATTGCAGCCACGCAACGTCCAGCCTTTGTTTCAGCAAACAAGAACATGACCTGGCTCCTTCTCACTAGGCGACCTAGTGACATTCTCAACCGCCAGACAATCCTGGCACAAGGGCCTCTGGCACGAAAGGATCCCACGCAAGGCTGCACAAAATGCGCTGCACAACTGCGAGCCGAGGGGCCACATGGTTTCACCCACTGCTGAAATCACCAGCCACAGCTCCCGGAAGGTGTCATGCAGCTGCACTGCCCTTGGCAAAGAAACTCACACCAACAATTTTCCATGGCTGCTTTGGCATGACCTTTCCTGTGTCTCCGAAGCTGCCTACATATTGAAACTAGCGAGTAGCCTCAGTTCTAAATTCATGTCGGGCAAATCTGGCCTGCGGCATGGTGCCATGGCTCTCTGAGGCTATGTTAGCTAAATCCGCACGGTCCGCGAAACGAGGAGGCTAATGAAGTGAATTGCTCTGCAACGGGCAGCCTTTGCAAACAGCTGACTCTGCGCAATGCAGGTCAAGATTGTCTTGCATACATTCCCGGGTGGGCTTTAACCAATTTCAATAAATTCATGCTGACGCTGGTGGGTTCACCAGAGTCTCTAATGCTTCTTCTTTTGCCCAGCCGAGACCTGGCCAAAGACCCCTCTCCGGCCTCACGGCGCGGCCCAGCTGAAAGACCCTGGCCGCGCTCAAAGCGGTAAGGTGCCCATGTCATGACGGGGTGAACGAGTCCGGGAAAGTTCGAACGTCCAAGCGTGCATTGGCGCAGCGCATCGGCGCATGGCGCGTTCGCGGCAAAGTAAGCAAATACTCGCTGACGATCAATATCGGTCAATAGCGCTGGCCTTGCCACCACATCTTGGAGTATTCACCCTTTCCCGCCGGGAAAAACAAAAAAGAGGGACTTCACCGGTGATACTCTGGCCAAGGAGCGAATCAAATTGAAGAATGGGTGCTTGCAGCCGTATGCGAACTTGTATGATCTTGCCACAGGTGGCAAAACCGGCCTTCAGGCGAT